CCCCCCGGCTCGTCCCTGAGGCCGACCCCGCCCCGGGACTCAGGGGTGCCTCCCTGTCATCGTTTCACGTGGGGGCAGGAGGAGAAGGCGGGCTGCCGCCGCTGCCGCTGCCACCACCACCACCGCGGGTGACGCCCTCCTCCTCCTCCTCCTCCCCCCTTCTGCCGGCAGTTCAATGCCGCCCTGGCCATCGAGAAGACGGAGGAGTGGCTCAGCGAGGCGTTCCGCATTGAGGAGAGCCTGCCTGCTGCCCACCCCGTCCTCCAGTCTTGCATCCGGGCCATCAAGAACCTGCAGAAGTACCTCCCTCTGCTACGGAAGCTGGGCAGCCACTTTGTCAAGGTCGGCTGCTGGAAGGAGATCTTCGCAGGTGGGTGAGAGGCCTGGGACTTGGGCCGCTCGGTTCCCCTCAGGCAGGGGCTGCCTCTGGGTCCCACGGGCGTCTAGCCTCAGGGGGAGTCCTTGCGCCACGACGGCAGGCGGGCAGGCGGGGAAGTCTCGGGGGGTCCGGGGCGGCTCACTTCCTCCACGGCCTCTGCTCTCTTCCAGCCATGGGTGCCAAGTGCCCCCTGAACATGCAGTTCACCCTGGGCCAGCTCCTCGCGCTCCCCCTGTTGGAACACAGCGAGACCATCCTGCGGGTGAGCCGGGAGGCGGAGTGGGTGGGTGGGACCCGCTGGCCGGCCTGGCCTCTTCTTCCGCCCGCCCCAGCCTCCTGGGGGCTCTGCAGGAAGACCCGTTGCCTCAGAGAGGGCCCTTGCATCCCCCAGATCTACGCCTGCGAGAAGGGCCGCTATCGCTCCAGGGACACCCTGAATCGCCTGCAGAGGTTCTGGTCCGAGAAGCAATTCCGCCTCGTCAACTTCATCCTTAACGTGCCCTATCAGCCACCGGGCGAACGCTTCCGCCGGCCGGCCAGCAGCCGTCAGCGCCCAGCCAAGCGGGAATACATCTCCAAGGACAGCGGCACCTATGTGTTGTCCGGTGAGGCCCCGGGAGGAGGGTCCCGGCCCCTGGGGGTGGGGTGCTTCTGCCTGCTTCTTGTGCGAGAGCGGCCAGGGTGGGAGCCCCGGACGGACCTCCCGAGCCGAAAAGTTCCTTCCAGGCACGCCTGCTGAGCCCTCACCCAGGGCTCCTCCTCCTCAAGGGCAGAGGGGATCCGCCCCCGCCCCCGAGCCTCAGCGAGGAGGGTGGGCTGTCAACGGAGTCCGCAGATCACGGGACAGGGAGGGGCTGCATCAGAGCCTCTGCCTGTCCCACAGGAGTTCCCTGTTTCAGTCCCCCCTCCGTCCCCCCCCCCGGCAGCATCTCCCGTTGGAACCACTAGGCCAGTGGGTGGTATGAACGACAGACCCCCACCACCTGGGACCCACCCTGGAGAGCTCCTGCCAGTCCGAGTTGGGGGTGTGGGGGTGTTCCGATTCTGTAGAAGGCCGCTCCATGTGGTCTCACGTTTGGCTGCGTTAGTCTGTTGTAGCAAAATCAAACAGAATCCCAGTGGGACCTCAAAAGACTCACGGCATCTGTTTCATGATGGGTCGCTCTTGAACAGGGCCTCACGGAAGCCCCCCCCCCCCTCCCCTGCCACAAATTGGGTTAGTCATTCAAAGGGCTCCCGGTTAGAGTCCTCCGTCTGTAGCCGTAGAAGAGAGCCAGAGACCCGGACGCCTTTG